GGGGCTGAGTGAAATAGGGCGCAACATCAGGAGGCGGGGTGGGGGTGGGGCTTGGGGGTGGGGTCTCAGTTTCAGTTTCCCAGTAGCAGTTCCTAAGGCAGGGGCAGGGTGGGGTGGGGATGGGGGTGTGCCGGTAGGGTTCTTTGTAAGGTACCTGAGAGAGAGGGAAAAAAACCCAAATGGTGAGCTACTACAGGACCTGGCAGGGAGCCTTCCGTTACACTCTAAAAATACTCCGCAGAGGTCTCTCCAGCCCAGGGCAAAGGACCAGGAGATTATACACTATCTCCCTTTTGATAGTGGCTGCTCCGGGGTAACCGATTCCTAGGCTACTTCCAGCCAGAGGCTGCCAGGCTAACAGAGGAGCTTCAGGTCACTGGAGCCAGCCTGGTTTCAGGATCAGACCTCGGCACAGGAGGGAGTGAGGACGGCCACAGCTGCCGCTCTAGGGGGACCCCTCTCCTCGTTGGAGTGAGATGCTCATTGGGGCTGAGGTGGCATCCACCGACCAGGAGCCAGCAGGCCGCAGTATCAGGAACAGGCCTGGGAATGAGGCAGGGCTGGACTGGACTGATAACCCGACCTCAAATCCCTCAGCCTGTTCCCATGCCTCATTGTGCTTCCCCACAAACAGTGGTGACAATATCTACCTTACCCAGCTCTGAGAAATCCACCGGAAGTACAAACAGAACATTTTTAGTGCCAGGCCATGTAGAGACTCAATGTTCAGTGAGTGATGGCCATGATTATTGAACTCCACATGTGAGTGAAGTCCAACGGAGCCACGGAGAATGGGTCAGGGTTGACCAGACACAGGTAAGCTTTCCAGAAAGTGATTCAAGACTAGATGAGTGGCTGGACTTGTAAGTCGTGGGTAGAATGCTTGCCTAGCATGCAGGAAGCTGTAGGCTCGGTGGATGGTGTGACATGGAGAGATGGCAAGACAGGAGGAACCCAAACCCCTGTAGAATACACTATGTTTCCCCCACCATTCATGACTTCCTGCTAGGACCCATGAAGGCCCATCTATCTCTCTGTCCGTATTGACCTAAAGCGGGTCCTCTGGGTTCCCATGGCCCCTTTTGTCTTGTCCTCTCTTTTCATATCTTCCGGCAGGCTCCCAAAGCTATAGTAGTGGCTATAGTCCAGTGTCTGAATACAGTGAGATCACAAATACACACGTACACATGTGTGGGACATTTGGTCCTGGGAAACTGTGATGGAGCTGGGACTCTGAGCCCCGGGTTGCAGATTCATCTTACCCTCCAGACATCAAGTTCACAGGAGGCTGACAAACAAATCAATGTGGTTTTGAACATGCTATATGGAGATAGGGATCCAATCTTTTAAAAACATTAAGGCAGTCACATTTTTTTTATTAGAAATTTAAAAAAAAAATGGAATTGTAAGGTTGGACAGATAACAGCATTGTTAAAGCACATGCTGGACCTGAGTTTGATTCCCAGAATTCACATCAAAAAGCCAGACATGGTGATGCATGCTTGTCATCCCAGATCCTAGAGGCAGAGACAGGTGGCTCCCAGGCCTGCTGGCAGCCTCGTTTAATTGTCCAGCTCATGCCAGTGAGACAGACGGCACTGCTGTGGATAAATAAAACACTGATTGGCCAGTGGCCAGGCAGGAAGTAGGCGGGACAAGGAGAGAGGAGAATTCTGGGAGTGAAAGGCTGAGTGAGGGGGACACTGCCAGCCGCTGCCATGACCAGCAGCATGTGAAGATGCTGGTAAGCCACGAGCCATGTGGCAAGGTATAGATTTATGGAAATGGATTAATTTAAGATATAAGAACAGTTAGCAAGAAGCCTGCCACAGCCATACAGTTTGCAAACAATATAAGTCTCTGTGTTTACTTGGTTGGGTCTAAGCGGCTGTGGGACTGGCAGGTGACAGAGATTTGTCCTGACTGTGGGCAAGGCAGGAAAACTCTAGCTATACTGCACTATTAAAAAAACAAACAAAAAAGCAGTGTGTGATTTTCTTAATTTGCAACTTAAAAAAAAACAGTAAAGTTTAAAACAAATAGATAAAGAAATGTGGTTGGATGTGGTGGTGTACACTTTTAACACCAACACTCAGGAGGCAGAGGCAGGTGGATCTCGGTGAGTTCCAGGCCAGTCTGGTCTACACAGTGAGTCCCATGTGGGTCAGGACTACACAGTGAGATCCTGTAAGTAAGTAAGCATGTAGATAGATAGATAGATAGATAGATAGATAGATAGATAGATAGATAGATAGATAGATGATAGATAGAGGTGATGATAGATAGATAGATAGATAGATAGATAGATAGATAGATAGATAGATAGATATTAGATAGACAGACAGACAGATGAAATAAGGCACCTGAGGAAGGAGAGCCAAGGTCATCCCCTGTCTGCATACTGTCTTTGTCCCTGTTCTATTGCTGTGAAGAGAGCATGACTAAGGCAACTCTTACAAAAGAAAACATTTAAGTGGAGCTTGCTTAAAGTGTGGAGGCAGGAGCTCGGTGACCCAAAGGCAGAGGTGCTGGGGAATAGCTCAGAACTTCATATCCTGATCCACAGGCAGGCAGGCACACACAAACACACGCATGTACACACAGCCCCACCTGACATGGGCTTCTGAAACCTCAAAGCCTACCCACAGAGACACACTTCCTCCAACAAGGGTACACCTCCTAATCCTTCTAATCCTTTCAAACAGTTCCACTCCCTGATGACTAAGCATTCAAACATATGAGCCTACGGAGACCATTCTTATTTAAAACACACACACACACACACACATACACACACACACACACACACACACACACACATCACACCATGTATGTGTTCTAAACTGCTGGGCTGTCATCCATCACTCCCTAACACCAGAAGCTGACTCTCTCTAGCTCACACTGCTGCAGCTGAAGAGGTCCCCACCCACTCCGTGGGTGGAAACTCAGAGGCAAAGCACCCAGGAAGCAATGCTCCAGAAGTTGCTCTCCAGAGTGTGCCCTCTACTGGTTGAGAGCAGAACCTCATGGCTGCCAGACCTTGTGACATTCAAACTTGCTCTCATCACCAATTCCCAGAACTCATTTGAAATTTTTCCTTCAAGAGTTCAAGACAAAGCCAGGCGGTTGTGATGCACGCCTTTAATCCCAACACTCAGGAGGCAGAGGCAGACTCATCTCTAGGAGTTCAAGGCCAGCCTGGTCTACACAGTCAGTTCCAGAACAGCCAGGGCTATACAGAGAAACCCTGGGGCGAGGGGTGAGGTAGTGTGGAGGTGGTGTTTCAAGATAATAATAACCATGTGGGCTTCATAGGTAACTACCCGTCCTCTGTGGGAGACAAGGGGGCCTTTCATTGGCCTTTCTGAAGCCTCCAACTCAGTTGTGAGCGGAATAGTCATGTCCAAAGACAGCAGCCAGCATACTGCATATGCGTCCACCTGCTTAAGACCCCACAGTGATGGGAAATGTCTCATTACCAAAAATGTTTTCCTCTTTCTGTTATTTGTAGATACATCATCCCACCACCACCGCCATAGAGTAAAAAAAAATTGTGATTCCAAGTGGAAAAACAGGACAGACATTTGCTGTTGCCAGGTTTTCTATTTACATCCACGTGTGAGCTTGTAATATAAATGCTTAGGTCTACGGCATTAATATAAGAAAGTAAGAAAAAGAATGTGCCAAAATATTTCCGTGAACAAGGTTTTACAACTCAACTTCGTAATTTCAATGAACCATTGTTAAGTTTCAACCCCAGAACAAATAGCTGAGGTGCCTATTAGCATATTAAAGTGGACCTGACCTCCAGGCTCTCCCAGCATCCCTCAGTCCCTACCTGTTTCAGGGTACGGCTGGCACACCCCATCCTCTACCCTGATTGGTCCAGCCCAGGAGCTGGGCTGCCCTTCTCCCAGAAGTTCTTCCCATATAATCCAGACATTTTGGTTACCCACCTCTTTTGTACCTTAGGCCTCCTGGCTGCTGTATCTGGTTCCTCTCTCTCCCCTCTACCTCTTCCCACATGGCCCAGCTCAGCCTGATCATGTCCACTCTGGACTCTCCCAGGTGCCCTTGCCCCGGCTCTGTCTCCCTTTTGTCTATAATAAACCTTCTCCTCTACCATACCTAAGATCAGTCATGTCCTTTCTTTTCCTTCTTTTTTTTTTTCATTCAACCATGAATTTTTCTGGACAATACCATTATTTGGACTTAAAAAAGTCAGTTGAGAACACACTTAGGTCTAGGAGCAGAGATGGCATCCATTTAGACTCTAGACGGGAAAGAGTGAAGAATCGCGGAACACTGAGGCAGCAAGATAGAGGTGAGGCGGAAATGGTGTCTCTGGGTCTGTGAAATAAAACTTTTGAGGCTGTTGAGCTGTGTCCTTTCTAATAACCTGTGTATGAGCAAGCAAGGGCTGCTGAGAAAGGTCAGCCGATAAAGGCTCTTGCCTCCAAACCTGAAGCCCAGAGTTCCATGCATGGTCAAGGGAATCAAACCAGCTCCTTGCCTCACATGCTCGTGGTCCCGGCTCCCACACCTGGTACCACAAGTAGCGTTAGGGGAAACTGGTTGCACCAAAAGACACAGGAACCTGGGAAGACCTCCCTGGCATTTGCATGCCGACTTTGTCCTCCACCTGCTTGATAAATCTGGGACGGAGTTCCTAGAGTGACTCAGCTCCCGGGAAACCTTTGGGCTTGGTTATTCCCCGATTGCATCCTTCTTACAATCCTGAGCTACAAACTTCAATACAAATCCTCAATCGCTCTTCCCGGGTCTACTGAGAAAGCAGGGAAGGAAAATAGTATTGGGGGGTTTCCAAAGTGAGATGCAAAGGGCCGGGTGGAGGGCGAGTTTTAAAGGGCCAGTGTGGGCGGGTCTCTATGTGATGTCTGTGTGATGGACAGCTGCCTGTAAGCTCTGCACCCAAGGGGCAGAGTCAGGAGGATCAGGAGTTCAAAACCAGTCTGGGCTACCTATGCACCTGTCTCTAAATAAGTAAGCAACCAACCCAAGCCTTCCATCAGTCTCTATGGCCCTGAGGAAGTGTTGTGGACTGTTCTGTTTTTAGATTTGGGTGTCTGAGTCAAGGGATAAAATGAGCCACCAAGCGCTGAGCCCTGGACACTGAGCTGTAAAATGTTTGAAGGAGCTTTTGAAATGTTTTTTAAGCTTTATATAACAAGACGCCAATATGTTCCAGGTTTCCACTTTTAATGTTCATTTTCAGTTGTAAAATCTAAAAGTTGTAAATTCTTTATATAGTTATTTTCTTACATAATTCTGTTTGTAAATTTACAACGGGAAGTGAGACCAAATGACAAGGTTTATATCACAATTGTGCTATTTGAGCTTTATAGATATACTATAAATAAATCAAACTCAAGCAGTTGGGTTTTTTTGCTTATGGAACACTGGTCACACACACAAATAAATCCTATGCAAAAAAATAATAATAAAATAAAAGCGGACTTCTCGGTGCCAGCAAGCAGAGGGTGTTTGTACTGTGTAGACTCCATCATCACTGTCCATCTCTAGCCAGGTTGTCCTGTGTACAAGAACTTATTTTAAATGTCTCCTGTCTGTTGTGTGTATCTTGCAAGCTAATTAAAATATACCATTGTCTCCATGTTCTTTCATTTTGTTTTGTTTCTCAAGACAGGGTTTCTCTGCATAATCCTGGTTGATCTGGAATTCACTCTGTAGACCAGGCTGGACTTGAACTCACCAAAGTCTGCCTGTCCCTGCCTCTGCCTCCCGAGGGCTGGGATTAAAGGTGTGCACCACCACTGCCCAGCTTCCCTCATGTTTTTAAAGCTGTTAGCTTTGAACTTAACATTTCATAAGTGACTTCCGATGGCAGTGGAACCTGGCTCTGAGCACTGGGGATGGGACCCGATCTGTGGACACGGGAGGAGTCCCCAGTGCCCAGCAGTTGGCTTCAGGGTTGTGCAGGGCTCCGTGGAGCACAGCGGGGCTCATCCTCAAGAAGATGACCCAGTGTCCCAGCAGAGGGCTGCAGTAGACGACGGGAGCAGTGTGTCTCAAGTGTGGAAAGGAGAAAGAGATTCTCATCCGCTGAGAATTCTACAGCTGGCAAAATTCGCCTTCAAAATCGCGGGAAACGATACATTGCTAGGAAAAAAAACGCTGAAGGAGCACATTCCCACCTGACCAGTCCTGCAGGAAACACCACAGGGACTCCGCAAGCCGAATCGAGACAGTCACTCAGAAGGACACGAAGCGAAGGCAAATATAAAGCCTTCTAATTTTGATTTGTAACTTTTCTAAAAGGCTTGAAAGACAAATGCCTGGAAATCATTATAAATCTGTTTTTTGGGGGCATAAGCCAGATAGAGATGCAATTTGTGATATTGCTAAAATGAGACAGAGCTTCAGTATCTTTAAGTGTACATGCCTGTGTGTGTGTGTGTGTGTGTGTGTGTGTGTGTGTGTGTGTGTACTTGGGTATGGATACGTGTACCTGAGCATATGTGCCTGCCGGGTCTAGAAGAAGGTATCAGGTTCCCTAAAACCGGAGTTTCGGAGCGTCAGGAGCCCAATGTGGGTGCCGGGAGCTAAAGTTGGGTCCTCTGTAAGAGCAGTAAGCACTCTCCATGCTGGGCTACTGCTCCAGTACCACTTTCGTGTATTTTATGTAAAATCCTGGTAACCACAAATAAAGTAAGCTACACACAAATCTCACAAAGTACTTAAAGGGCCTCCACATCAGTGGTTCTCAACCATCCCAGTGCTGTGCCCTTTAACACAGTTCCTCGGGTTGTGGTGACCCCCGACCACACAATTCTTTCATTGCTACTTCCTAACTGTGATTTTGCTACTGTTACGAATCATAATGTAAATATCTGATATGCAGGGTGAGAACCGCTGGTTCGCACAATGACAAGGGAGTGAAAATGTGTCACTGCAAAAGTATCAACTAAACACAAAGAAGGAAGCGATGGGGGATGGAGGGCGGGAAAGACAAAAAGCAGTAACACGCACAATAGCCACACCGCCAGAGCAGATCCTCAGCAGTCAGACGCGTGAGGGATTAAGGTCTCCAGTCAAAAAGCTAAGAGTGGCAAAGTGGATTCAAGCCAGCTTGATCCAAATACTTGCCGCCTTTCATGGGGCTGGAGAGCCGGCCTGGTGCTC